ATTGTTTCTGCACACATAAGGGGGTTTTAATTTTCGAATAGCCAAGGCCTCCATCAACCTCGAAATTCGCCTTCAGCATTTCCATACAATGTTTTGAAGGCTGTCTTGATGTCAATCTTATGTCCTGTCTCAATTATGTGTTTTGCGATCGATGAACATGGTTTCCTATTTCCAACGCTAATCGGCTTATCTGACGTTAACTGATTTTGAGGCCACTTAGGTATATGTTCCCAAACCCTTGATTGCAAAGCCTGATTACTCCTCCCGATGGGTATGTGTCCACACAAACATGTAAACTGATAAATGCAATTGGATGTGAAGTAATCATTCGAGTAACGCTTGGGTCTATGTCAAATCATGGGCTTAGTCTTTTCAATGATAATCAGTTTAGCAGCGTTGTACGTTTTCTCTATGGCTGCTTTTAGTCTCTGTCCTAAGATTAGACCATTCGCTTCACCTTTAAATGGTAAAGTGATATAAACCTTTTTCTTCTCAGCAGAATGAAAAACTTGATTTTGTCTTAACTAATTTCTACACCTATTGATAAACTTTAGCGGATATCCATTTGAAATCAACGCTTCAGTTGAGAATTTTGCGTCGTCGTCAAATGTATCCGTGGTGCAAATCGTTTGAGCCCAATTGAAGAGGCATTTTGCCAAACCTCGCTTATATTGCAGTGAACAGACGGTAATCGACAATATAGATATTTGCATGATCGTCTCATTATCATAAAAAGGTTAGCTGCTCTGTTCCCCCAGTATTTATCTCTCTGACCTTACCTCAGAGGCCAGTACCTTCATCTCTTCTTCTCTGTAAGTGATCTACTTCTTCAAATACAACCTTCTTTTACTCTTCACATCCCGTGTTGGTGTAATGCGTTTGGATTATTATTTTTTCGCTTCATTAATTCATAAGACTCATACACTTACTAGTTATGCCTATAATCGTTCACATAGACAGGGCTCATATACCAGCTGCTTTTTTCTGATACAGTTGCCCACCAAATAAACCGGAAGGGATTATGTGACGGTTAGCTTAACGCATCTCCCAGACGTTTCTAATTAATTTTATATACCTTAAACGCTCAACCTATAAAAGTACAGCTAGTTTAAAGTCTGATGAATCATATTAGTTGTTCATGACGGGCTTGTGTTCCATAAAAATCTGGCGGTGTCCACTTACTGACTTGATTTACACTGTATTTCAATGTTCACAACTTCGACGAATACGAATAGCCACATCTAGTGTGCTTAAACCTTTCAAAGATAGTGAACAACTGATGGATCATACTAGTAATTTTTCTCGGAAAGGTATAAAAAATTCGCGAACATTTGAAAGCGGAAAAAACGACCACAATCCACGACGTGATGATAAATGATGATAGCACATTAAATCACACCACGTAAACTCATTTCAAACTTATACGGGCATGCCTAGGTTATTCGATAGTCAGTCTTTTACGCCTGTCATAAACCATATTGAGTTTTTGTTACCCATTTTTTCTGTTCTCCTGTCATTGTTCGGTTTACTTTTTGTGCCAAATTTTTCTCTCTAATAGGCTGTATTAATTTATACTTTTTGTACACCAATGGTTTAACCTTAAATTTCAGAAACAGATAAAGTTTATTCAGATTAATAGCTTACTTCTGACTTTAGCTAAGCCAAGAATTTGTGATCGTCAGTAAAGGAATCAGTTAAGAATTTAATCTGCAGTGACTACTTCCTACGCCAGATTCCCTGAAGGAATTTCGTGAGAAGATATGATAGGACCACTGTGAGAATCAAAGAAAGTCATAAAGTACATGAGGTTACGGTAGATAATTTAATGAAATAGTGTTAAGCTGTTCATTAAGATTATGATGGCTAGTGTCTCACTAATTTCCTGACAGTCAGTACCCAACGTATCCTTAGACTTCGTTATTTGCTCATCTAGACAACCGTTCCTAAATAGCGCCTCATGGTTTATAAATCAGAAGGCACACGACGAATGCACCAACAGACCACAAGCACACAGAGAAGGGCGAACACACTAGCGGGTGAGAGGGTTGGCGAATTGGCGAATAAATTAATAAGATTAAAATGTGTATATACATACATCGAAATACCGAAGAGGCTAACATTAAAGAGTAGGATGAATATTCGCATATGCGGTAAGCAATGTTCAGGCATACCAGCTCATACAAACCAGACAATAGTAAAAGCCAGTGGTACATATATACAAATGGTTTGGTTAAATAATTTAATCGAAAGGCTCAACCAAATTAAATATCAGTGAACTCAAATGTATGTCGAAGCACTACAAGATATCAGTACCGTGGCGAGGGTGCTGTTCGAGAATTTGATTGCCCACCAGGGAGTACTGAAATAGCCATGTTCTGATGCAGGACCCAGTTTCGATAGGGAATTTGTGTCACTTGTTTAGAAAACACGAGCCAAGACTCACAACCTAGAAGATAACAATCCAGTTGAAGAAAACTACCAGTAATTCATGACAGTTGCTGTAGAAGAGAATGTAGCTTGATGTACACTAAAACTCTTCTGTTTGTTAGTGTACCGATGGGGCATATGGGAATCAACATTTTACATATTACATTTTTTTCGGATGATATGAAATAAGCGCCTCCTTAGTGGTACGGTTGCTGTAAGTCAGTGAGATGACCCACTCTGTCAAGGCTAAAAACAGACAAAATCACATTATGACGTGGAGTCTGCAGAGGCTGGCGGAAGTGGGTATTAAACAGATAGCTATCACAGGTAAACAAGGGGATGATAAAAAAGTAAATGGACTGGACCATTCCATTTTAACTCTCATGTAAAGGCAAACAAATAAAATTGATGAAGAAGGAAAAGGCCGGGAACCAAACTGTGTATTCCAATAGACTGAAAAGGTATAGAGATGAGTAGAATAGTCAAAGTAGTAACGGAAACTCCAACCTAATTTCTTAACTACCATGGGTATAAGTATAGTGAAGAAAGACATGGAAGCAGAAGTGAATAGTCTATGGATAGACTTGATTCGATGGTGAGACCGTGTGATGGTCTTTGAAGAGTGGTTTTGGCACGAAGGTTTGTGGGTGCTGCATGGAAGAGACGTGATTTTTGGTTGGTAGCTGGTTGTTGATTGGAACTTGTGTTGGATTAAACGTGTTTAATAAGCCTAACTGTAACTGTTAATCACTGTGCATATGAAGGATTATTTAGTTGGGACTTTCCATCCTAATTGTCAGGATGCCTCATTGAAGGCTTGACGATAATTTAACCACCCTAGGTACTCTGAAAGTTACTCTATGATCACTTCTACTGTTAATAACAATGTGATATGGCAACTTGAACTGATGTGCGTACTTGGGAAGTTCTGCGTTGTAAGTGACTGACTGATTGTTAATGACTAACTTATTTAACCCATACTTTCAATAAGGAAGTGATATCGACCACTTTACACCAACATAAATGCTTTCCAGTGACCGATACGTAGGTCAAAAGAACAAGAAGTCAGTGAAGTATGTCGAACCTTACCGAAACAACAGGATCGGTTTAAAAATAGCTTGTGGAAAAGGATATTGGATATTGACCAACTTGTAGCGGGCAGTGTAAGTCCTGTTGGTCAACGTAACTTCTAGTAAGTCGACTTATTTCAAACTGTTTACTTTTGGAAGTCTGTGTGATTTCTTTTTAAAAGGCCAGAAGTCCAGTTCTGTTACGTGATATACAAATTCATGAACTAAAAACTAGAATTAGTGCAATCCAGTGGCTAGACTACTACTATCCATTGGTTATTACTAAATACCAGGAACTATAACGAAATAAACAAGAAGCTAGTGGAAAGAGATCATGTGGTTTGTAATAGCTTGTAAGGAGGATATTGGATATTATAAATGACCGGAATCGCTTCTAGATGATGGTTTTGTCTCGTCCTTGTGATAAAGAAAATATGTATCGTGCCCAGAGTCTTCTATAGACATCTGCAACATCGTAATAAAATAACATCGTAGGCTGCAGTAAGCGAATAGAGAGGTTCTAATTGCAGGCTGACACTGTGTGATAAGTTTGCAGGTCGTTAATTCAAGACTAAAGGCACTGAGATTTCTCCAGTGTTATGTTCATTATTATTTAGGGCAACTCAA